TAATTTATAGGATTTCGTTCATTTAAACCATTTTACTTAAGCACTTATCAGAAAAAAACTATCTACCTACCTAAAATACCAATTAATTTTTTTAATAAAAAATCAACACTTATGCACGATATTTCCACACAATATAACCGATATTTACAATGTCATCACATTTCATAACATTATGCAAGTATATTTCACATAGGAATTAATTAAATATTTATGGGGTCGTTTATCGTTCAAAGAACCTACAATTTATGCCACAATTAATATATATGTATAAAGATACGTATGTATACTGATTTTTCCCATAATAATAATCCTTCAAAACTCATATTAACGTTTATTGTTTTTAATGTAATTAATTGAAATTCTCACAGAGTGTGAAATATGCATATCATGTTTCCAGGCAGTAAGCGCATAATGATTGTATGTTTTTTTCTTCCAATAAAAATAACAATTTCCTTTAAAAATTTGCAATGCTTATTCCATCGAAGCGGATATTGACAAATGAATTAAATAAATTCAAATGAGGGGTGGGGGATGAGAAAACACAAAAGAGTTGAGAGCTTGCCATGCAAATAAACAATAAAATTTTATAATGCCAGCAAGACAAAAAAAAAAAAGAATTATTCATTTGACCAGAGAATAAATGAAATACATTAAAATTAACATATAAATTAATTATATTTTAAAAACAGGCCACAAAAGAGTTAAAGCTTTTGACATTTAAATGCATAAAATTAATGTATTTAACTTAACAAATAAACATGCAATTTTAAAATACAATAGGGAGGGTAAAATATATAATGGAGCATAATTGTAAACTGTCTCTGCTGGAATACGTTTGCATGGAAATCAAAAAAAAAAAAAAAAAACGGGAAAAAATAAAAATTCTAGAATCAGTTGAAAATCGTTTGAAGTCCAATGATGCCATCGGCCATAAACCACGTCAACCAGTTGCTTTTTCTGGATGAATTTTTAGCCTTCTGCTTCTGGCCGATCTTCACTCATAAATCTACAACTCTGCTTATTTAATTCAACACAAAGCTTTCGATGAACTTTTTGTGACCCTTTGCAAATAATTGTCAATGTAGATGTATTACTTTTTGTGCAATAATCATTCTAAATCAGGAAATCATTATTTGATTCGATAACTTGAAATGCTCTTTGAGCGATATGACCCATTTTCTATTTTTGTTTACTTCAGTCCGCCATAAAATATTGTCTACCCATTATTTACGAGTCATGTATAAAGTACTGTTTCACATTTATATGTAGCATACTTTCAAGAGCTACCTCTTGATCTCTCCCTTTCTCACTTGCTCAACGACATCTAGGACTTTTTAGTAGCCATAAATTTCGCATTTTAACTTAAAAAAGAATACTTCGATAACGACAAAGTAACACACAAAAGTAATTTTGTTCTAATTTTAAAACATATAAACAAAATTATATTTAATTGCATATTATTGGCAGAAAAGCGTACGTGTGAATAAATTGCATGTCAATTTTTTTCTTTTTAATATACTTCTCAATTTATAGCTCATCAATATTAAAAGACTTGTACACAATGCCTGTTTGTATACGTTTATAGTTTTATTTTTCCACATTAAAAATTCTTCACAAAAATAATCGATAAACGTTTATGGTCTATTTTTACAAGTTTGTATCTAGCAGGATACGAGGGTTGATATTTCCACAATTCAAAAGGCAAAAACATTGCTCAGCAAAGTGCCTTAACCATACTTCGGCGATCCAAGAAAAAATTTGTATATTATTAATTCAAATTAAATAACGCAAGAGATTAAAATAAAATAATTCTTGGGCGCCAAATCTGTCATTCATTTAGGTTGACATGTAAGGTGTTTGCATGCAAATCTTGAATAATACTTCTAATAGAGTAATTACAGCACAGGACAGATTTACAGGTCCATTAAAGCTAGAGTCTTGTAACTTCAAATTTACTAATAACAACTTAACCTCAGCAACCCTCAGATAATGTCCGTTTATTAAAATATATTTGCACTTGCGTTATGATTATTCGAAATGTTGATCCTTTTCTGAAGGAATGGGCCAATTTTGTAAAATTGTATCTGACCTAAATATGATATAAATATTACAAGGTGCCACATTTAGCCCATATTAACTATTTCCTTCTTTTAAAAAATTTGAAATGTGTGTGAAGTATTAAACTTTCTCTAAATTCAGTCACTTCTTTCGCATTTGATGAGCGTTTCAATATACAAAATATAGCTAACCTTGTATTACGGGGAAATATAAGGTGTGAAGTTTAGAATGATTCGGATGATTTTTTTCAAATTTTATGATTATTTTGATTTAATAATTCAAAATATTAAACCCTTTATGGGTGAGGTAGCCGAGAAAACGAATCAATATATTCCTATCTAAAAATATTGGGATGTGCGAAATTTGTGAATTTGTAACTTGGACTTTTATTTCACTTTTAAATGAGTTATAATTATTCAAAATTTTGACCCTTTGTGCTCGAGGTACTTGATGGAGTTGGCCGATATTGTCCATATTCCCCAAAAATACTCCAGACACAATAATCCAACGGATTGTTATCCGGAGATTTTGGAAATGGAGCGAGGAACCTCATTTTGTAACCATTCTTGGGTAGCGCGTTCTGAGTGCGATGGTGCCAAGTCCTGTTGGAATGTCCAAGTTTTGCGGACAAAATGTTTGCGTGCCCAATGCTTTAATACACCCTCCAGAATATTTTCGCGATAATATTCAACATTTATTATGATGCCACAGTCGATTAATACGAGCGGAGAGTGACCATCGGCTGTTATGGCGGCCCACACCATCACCATGGCCAGTGCTTGAGTTCTGGTGGCCAACCGAGGGTGCACATTTTCAGCTGACCTTTTTGGCAAGTTTTTACAAACTGCTGGAACGGTTTCTCATCGGAGAAAACAAAATCCGGCAGTTCACCACTTTCGGCCAAGCCAAGCTCTTTTGGGTCCATTTTCTTTTAGTTGCGGTGTAAGTTCTTGCACTTTTTGAATTTCAATGGCTTTACCCCGAGCTCATTTTCAATATTTGCCGAATGGAATATTGCGATATGTTCAGTTCACGAGCCATTTTTCGGCCACTGCGACGCGGCTTTCGATCGATTCCCTTCTTTACTTTTAGAACCATTTCTGCTGATGTTGCTGTTTTCTCCCGTCCACTTCCTTGACGTCGGGCTATGCTACCAGTATCACGGTAACAAAAAATTTATTCACATATAAATGGTGGAGTGCTTTAACGATAGTCGCTTTTGGTTTTCCAGCCAAATATAAAGAAATCAAACTATCAAGCTTGAGTTCCATCCCTAATAACTTTTTTCTATAAAATTTTCACCAAAATGCTTTTGTACGCTTGTAAACAATATAATGAGCTCTCACTGGAATAATTTTAACAGCTGTCGGACGAGTGACAGCAGTCTGAAGTTGGTTGCAGTTTTTTCATCTCACTTTGTATGTACATAAAAATGTCTTATAAGGGCTTATTAGTTATATTTGAATTGGAATTTGACAACGTTTTAATTCGGCCAGAAACCGATCCCAACCAACCCTCGTCATCACAATGGCTATTGGAAATATTTTATAACAACCTACAGATAATTGTATCGATTTTTTAATTCAATGTAATTTTCTTACATTTTTGCAAATAGGTTGTTATTGACACATGAGAATGTTATTATCATACATATATGAAGGTTACTATGATTTAAAGTAAAGAAATTGTGTTTAGTTAAAATAACCTATTATTTTAATAATTTATTCGATAACATCATCCCTCAAAGTCTCTCCAACAATTATTGTTATTCGGCTGATTGCTTAAGTCTGGAGCTTTTAGTGTGGATGCTTACTTTAGCCGATGTTTTTTTAAACATATTAATCCATCATCCCCCTGTTCAAATCCTTGTTCTAAAGAGAATTAACATAATATTATAAACAATTTTTCAATACCACTTAACAAACTATTCAGAAAGCCAGACATTGAAAGGAAAGAATTCTTATTAAATTCATTTTAAAGCTCTATTTGCCAATTGACGTGTTTACGGGTTACTTCCCATTGCTTCTAATACGATTCTAACTCAAAATACTGTTGGTAACGTTAGTTACCCCTTTTCCAAAGACTTCTTGGAATTACAAAATGGAAAACAACCACAACAACAACTTAATTCTTATAATAGCAACAAAGCAGCAATTTTCATTTTATGAAAAGGGTCTGTCTCAGCTGGAAAGTAGCTCGTGCTTGAATTTGTAGTAGTTTTTTTTTTTGCTTCTGCTTTTCAAAAAAGAAAGTCAAAAATTTCTTGTAAAATATTACAAGGATACAGAAGGATATAGGTATATGTGTATGTATTCACTTAAAGGTCCTTCGTTTCTTGTGAATTTATTCAATGGACACTCAGTAGTGGCAAGGAAACTACACATACATACACCCTCACACCCACATCTACTATCAAGGCAGCCATGCGAAGTAAATATTATTAAATTTAACCTCTTCAATTAGTTGCCGCTGGTGCTCAACCCTGTTTTTGTTTTTCTGTTGACTGTTTTTTTTTTTTGTTTTTTTTTGTTTAGGGAGTGGTTGAAAGGAAGCAAAAGCAACAACAAAAATAATTTGAAATTCTTAATGAAATTTTAATGCTATTTCGTAGTTGTCTGACAAATGAATGACAAACAGAATAATCAAACTTTCAAAGGCATTGAGTTTTTAAGGATAAGCTTTAAAGAGCATTATGACCACCCAACCGACCGATCCATCAACCAACTAAATAGGGTTGTTTGTGTGTATGTCTCTGTACATTGCCTGGTTGATTCTTTTAAAGGGTTTTGTCCATTAATTTCCATTGTTATTTTCCCAAAGAAGGTTCAAGCATTAACATTATTCTCCTCCATTCGTGTTCTAAATAAATTTAGCAAAATTTCTGAATTTATCAGTGAACTTACCAAGAAAATGAAAGGTGGGTGAGTAAAACAGCACAGACACCATTTTGAAGCACTAAAGCCAAAAACTTTATTGAAATAAATTCGAGTGTGTGTGTGTATGTATATTTTATAATAAAGAACATTTGTTTAGCATATACAAAGGATCACGTGGTTGACACTTGAAAACTTGTTGAAATTCTTTGGATTGTTTCAGGAAGGCATGCAAAAAGGTGCGCCGCTCCGTTGATGGATTCAACTGACAATCCAACAGGGTGCTGGCCACAAAATACAACTTTTCCATGGACATTTGTAAATGACCGGCCTGTAGGAGGCGATCCAACTTTTGTATGAATTCCTCATCATGTTGTAGCCATTGTTTGTAGGTATACCAGGCCTGTTGTTGGGCCAATAGTTTTAGAATGAGATTGTTCAAATTAAATGTTCGACTGGCGTTGATGGTACCTGGAATTTGTTGCCTAGCCAAACAACGTTCAAATGTGGCATACTGCCGATCTGAATCTGTACTTCTCCAGGCACCGGGTGTGGCATGGGCACCACCAATCATCATTTCGGCAAAATTTTGTGCCACCAGCACGTAGTTAAGTGGAGCACTTAGATTTTGTTGTTGTTGCATTATGTTATTAATGGTAAGGAAACTTTCCATAAATATTTGACAACTTCTTGTAACTTGATTAGTGGTACGCGAAATGGGCTTGGCATCTGAGTCCTGTTTCGATCTTTGTGCTAAGAAACGTTGAATCTTCTCCAAATTGCGATAAAAGTTACGTTTTGTAATCGACAAGGATTCGTATTCTGCATCCAATTTGGCATCACCATTAAGGGTTAAATGCATGATCCGGCCCAAAAATAATTTGGAATTTTGTTGGGTTATCTCATCGATCCATGGTGTATTGGCCAAAAGCTGATCATACGATTGACCCAGCTCGGAGTACATTTGTGCCATTTGCACTTTGTTGATTGCGGAACGTTCTACAATGTGTTTGTAGACCGGACCGAAGTAGGTTTCCGTTAGTTTTTGGCAATCAGCGGAAGTTTTATCTGGAACATTAAAAAAATTGATTAACGAAAGAAAGTAAAGCATGTGGTGGAAAATAAATTTGAGAGCCTATTTCCTCAAAAACCATCCGTTATTTTCCTTAGAGAGATATGTACACCATGAAAAGTTCATGTTCTTCAGTGCATATCCCTAAGGTTTGGAAAAACTTAAAAATGTTTCCGCAAAAGTTATTTTTAAACTGATCAAATATATAATTGGGCGTTTTTGTGTAGTTATACCAGAATTCGAGTTTCAGTTTTTGCTGTACATATCAAGAATCTAGCTGGTTGATGAAATGTTGACAGTTAAGGGTACCAGTTTTCCTACTTTCAGTTTTTAAACTAACCATAATAAAAAATTCTTACCAAGGAGAAGTAATTTAATTTTTTTTTTTTCAAATACTTTTTGTATTGATTTTATTCAAAATCGGGTATTGGGGTTTGTGGGAGTAAAAAACCCCATTTTGGTATTGTGACCACAGCACAATATTTTTTCATAATTTAAAAATTATAACATAAATGAAAGCCTCCTCTTTAAAACTTAAATCTCCAAATTCAAAGAGTTATTTTTTATATCGTTTCTCTCTCTCTCACTCTTTCTCTCACCTTCACAACTTACCCATCAAATAATCAATCCACAACCAATTCAAAAATCTCGTCAACGTTGTCGATTGTAGCAATTCGAAATATTGTATCATCTTCGGCAGTTCCATGACAATAACGGTATCCGTGCTCTTCAATGGTTTACCCATTACTTTGCGAAAATATGTATCCCAATCGAGCGGTGCCACCGAACCAAAATTCAAACCCTTAAAATCTTCATAGGAATATTCGTTCACCTTCTCATCGGGGGCTATGGCAATTTTCATAATATCCCTTGAATTACGTTCAAAATTTAAAATTTCCAATGCCACCAGTCGCGCCTTGCCGGCATTCACATCGTAAGCATGCATTATTTCACCCGACATTTGTTCGAATTTTCTCAGTGTAAAGCGAATCGAATCGTCGGGACGAATTTCGACGATACGTTTATTTGAACGTAACTCAATTTGTGTCTTGAAAAAATACGGCACACCGGCCTCGTGGAATATGCTCAGCACCTGTAACCAGGTCATGTTACGACGCTTCCTCAACATGGCCATGGAATCATCAATGGCTGGCCAGCCACCAGATAAGCGATACATTAAAGTGCTCTTCAGATGATCCATCGTGCGGGCATTCTGGCATGAATCGTAAAAATGTTTCACTTTCAATTCGACATCCATGAGCTCTTCGTCGTTAGTGGCCTCGAGAAATTTATTGAATTTCAATTGTTCCTGCTGCTGGCGTTTGTCATGCTGTGTCTGGGCGGTGGCATTTAGAGAGCGCTCACAAACATAACCAAAAAAATCCTCGCAGGGTTTTTTTGTTAAATCCAGCCATGATTCGAGTTCATAGGAAAAACGTAAAATGTCATTCTCGGTGGCAAGCTTATCAGTGGTAACAGCTACAGCGGCAGCCACACCGCCAGTGCCAACCAGTCCCAGTGGGGGTGTTGTAGTCATGAGAACAAACAACAAAGATGCCAACACCAGCAGCAGCCAGTGATGCTGGTGCCGAGAGCAAGTATCAAAGTGATAATGGCAAAACATATTGAAGTTTTTCTTCTTCCACTTGAAGCAGTTGTTGTTTTCCTTTTCCCGGCACTTTTTTTTTTGAGTTGTCAATAACAAAAATATATTTTCGTTGTAAATTTAATATTCTTTTGGGGGTTTGTCTTATTCGACTTTTTTTTTTTTTTTTGTAAAACTTTTTTAATAAAACTGGGCCAAAAACTACAAACAGTTGGTGTCTGTGCTCTCGAATCTTATTTGCAATTCATCCAACACAATATAAGTTAACACTTTCGTAACAAATCGCTAACTAACATGACACTTGGCAATGTTACACCCATCTACTGGCTGGAAAAGGGGAACCTTACTTCTGGCTTATTTCTGTAGCTGTTTGGCATTCGTAAAATATTATGTTGCACAAAAAAATACTTTTTGTTATTTGGTTTTTATTCTTTGCTTCCGTTTTAACCTTGTTTTTTAATTAAGTTTTTCGTTTTGTTTTCTTGTTTTCCACTTCTACTCGTTGGGGTCTTGCCACACAAAAACAAATACCCAGTTGTGTGTTTTTAGAATGCGGTTGGTATGTTCTTCATTAGAGATTTCCTTTACGTTGTTCGTTTTGGTTTTTTATTTGTTCTTTCTTCTGAGGTTTCCCTCATTAGGATTGCAGCTAGCGAGCTAGTGTGTGAATGCACCAACGCCACTCTAGCTTCCTTGAAATAAATTTTTAATTTCAACAACAGAAAAAATTCCACACACGTTTTCGTGTGATTTCTGTTGTTCTTGGTTTTTGCGCTAATCTCAAACTAATGAATAATCTGTAAAACGCAAAGCCAAAGAATTCAATTAAAAAAGCTCAAACATTTCTATCTCTCATCTGGTGCAAAGAATTTCAAATGAGTTTTGTCGCAATTTCCATAGATAGATAAGCCAAGCTGGTGGGTTGAGGTTAATATTGATAGAGCGGTGGACAAAAATATAAATATAGTTTCAAATTTTGTTTCAATTCTATTCTAAATTCTACTTTGATCTTGGTAGACAAAGTTGTTGTAAATTGTTTTTGTTTTTTGTTTTGATTATCAATTCTAATGTGGGGCACAAAAAATGCAATAGCTGTCAGCATAAATTGTGGGACGATCTTGAACCGTTTGACATTAAATTTGTATTGATTGGATGTTCACTAAAGCAGCTTATCTGTAGTCAAACAAAGGGTTGCACTGTTAGGGTGGCCAACTATTAAAGTGATGTGTTTTTTTAAAAATATTTGTTATTGAATGTCTTTTATTTATTAAGATGGTATGACTTGAAATATAACATTTTCTCTAAATTACTTACCCGCTATATTAGCTATGATTATAAGAATAATCAAGTTAAGATACATTTTTTTTTTTATTTTAGAAGTGGTCAGTCTAGAGACAGAAATAATCCATTAATAATTTGTGCTAAAATGCAATTAATGTTCTTTATCAGATTATTGTTAATAGCGCATCTGTCTTAAAGAGATTAAAAAATTATAAACTCATTATAGACAATAACATACCTGGTGTATGAAGCTGTAAGAATTTAATGGGATTGAATTTTTTTTATTAGCGTTCTAGAGAAAATCTAAAATTCTCAGGGAAATCGAAAAAGTGCAGGGGGTTAGCCCTTTTGTGAAATTTAAGAAACAGTTTCTTCTATAAGAAATAAAGATTTTTTTTAAAGATATATGTTGATGTAAGCGAAGTAATTTTTGCCATCCCCTTTGAAACAAGAAAATATGGAAAATACAGGATGAAATAAAAAAAAAACTGCAACAGAGTCCAAGTCCATAATTTTTATTTATTTATTTTTTTAATTTTTTGAGTGAAAGCAAAAATGTCGGAAATAGAATCAAATATTAGAATAAATTAATATTTGTTCGAATTGGTCACCTTTGGCACGAATTATGGCTTTCAAACGCCAATGAAACAGTCACATGTTGCTCTGCGGTATTTTTGACACATTCCCGGCGAGCGCTTGCTTGAGGTGATCCACACTTTGGTATTGTTTAGTGTCAACCTTGCTTTCCAAAATACTCTAGACGCAATAGATGGATTGGTGGGTGTCGCGTGTGAGTGCGATGACGCTGAGTCCTGTTAGAATGTCCAAGGTCTGCAGCCAAAGTATTTCCGTGCCCAAGGCTTTAATACAACCTCCAGAATATTTTCGCGATAATTATCGGCATTTATTCTGATCCTACGGTCGAGAGCGACCATCGGTTGTTATGGCGGCCCACAGCATCACCGTGGCCGCCGCTTGAGTTCTAGTGGCCAACCGAGTGTGCACATTTTCAGCTGATCTCTTTGGCAAGTAAACATGATCATTTTGTTTGTTTACAAACTACTGGACAACGAACGATTTCTCATCGGAGAAAACCGAATTCGGCAGTTCACCACGTTAGGCCAAGCCAAGCAACTTTTTAGCCCTTTTGAGTCCATTTTCTTTCCGTTGCGGTGTAAGTTCTTGCACTTTTTGGAATTTGAATGGCTTTACCCCGAGCTCATGTTTCAATATTTTCCGAATGGTATATGCAATATGTTCAGCTCACGAGCCATTTTTCGGCCACTGCGACACGGGTTTCGATGAAGTCGCTTCTTTACTTTTCAAACCAATTCGTCCACTTCCTTCACGTCGGGCTACGCTACCAGTATTACGGTAACGAGCGATGGTACGAGACACAAAAAATCTATTCACATTTAAATGCTGGAGTGCTCTAACGATAGCCACTTGTGGTTTTCCAGCCAAATATAAAGAAATCAAACTATCGCACTTGAATTCCATCGCGAATAACTTTTTTTCTGTAAAATTTTCACCAAAATGGTTTTGTACTCTTGTAAACAATATAATGAGCTGTCACTGTAATAATTTTAACAGCTGTCGGCTTAATCCAATTATTGTTGTTTTTATAAAGTTAACGTTAATTTATTAATAGAGAAAGATGATAATGTTTACCAGGGGGTAAGACAGAGAATACCTAGGTTTCGGAAAGAGCCAACAATCCTCATCAGTTCATTGCTTTTTGTCTGGGATGTTCTTCCCAGAAGTTATTTAAAATTAACTCAAATGTCGGTTGTAATATTTAGAAGATTTTCCAAAAGATTTTTCTAACAACAATAATTGGATTAATCCCAACTATTTTGCAACAACAACAAAACTACGGTATCCCAAACCAACATGCTAATACTATTGCCTTAATTGTTTTTATAATTTTGCCCTTCGATGCTTACAAAACATAATTTCCCTCCTTTTTGCAATGTAAAGTCGCCTTAACGACGAATTTTCATTCTAGGTATTAGTACTATTGGATGCTGTATATAATGAGTAGTCATCATTTAATTTTCCTACTTCAGTAGAATTTTGCTTAGGAGGTTGTGGTTCATGGTCATGCTCAATTGATTTCGCCCAGGACTTTGTCAGTTAGTGCTAAATCATTCATCATGTAATCAGAGAGGACTCAACGTGAAGTTTTATGACCTAATTTTTACATGAATTTGAAAACTTCCTCAATTTTTGCATTCATATTGTGCCGAATGTAGTTAACGTAAAGTCTTCCCTCCGTTACTCTCAATCCTTATGTCTAGTCACCAAGAGATATCTTGTTTTCCTCATAGTAGATTGAAAATAAAACATTGAAAATTTCGTATTTGTAAAACTGTAGCAATGTGAACCAAACGAATATCCATTGCTAATGTTAAAATTTAAAGTTCGTATTATTTAAAAGATTGTTTCAGTGTTTTTGTTTTACGCCGCTTATTATTAGAAAATCTATATCAATTTTACTTGACAATTATAACTCCCAATCTGCCAGACAAGAATACATGGAAACAATTATTTTCCAATTACAATAACAATAAATGTTGTTGTTTTCTTGGTTCATAATTAAAAACAAATAAAGACCAAACGATTTTCAAAAATTGTTCACAAACTTTGCAAACAAATTTCAATAACTGAGTAAATAAAAGAATCGCTTTTAATGTTGTCAACCTCAATGACAGTAAAAGTTTATTAAAGAAATGTCATCGTTATTATGACAAAGTGTTTTAAATAGGCCTAATTTGAAAAGTTTGGCAATTTCAATAAATGAGCATGAACATTATTTTCCAAACCATATAAACATAATAATTAAATTAAATGGATTTAAGTTGACAAGATTTTTAATGTGAAATAAATAAAAATATTTAATGTAGAGCAAATAATGTTCCAAGTTTGAAGGAATGTTTATTTTGATTTTTATTGAAATACAACACTTTAAACTTTTGTGAGTATTCGGAGAAAGTCTGTTTTATGTGTTTGAAAACATTTAATCAATTGTATTTACTAGAAAAATTGGTATTTAGCTAGAAATTTGATATCAATTAATGCTTTCATGGAATTCCAACACTTGATGTTTACATTAGAATGAAGGATAAAGTAATACATAAATATTAACTTTACTTCAATTAATGAAATATATTGCATACTTTAAGGCTTTAATTATTTAAACCAAAATTATGAAGTATGACGAACAAATATGAATGCGAAAAAAAAGCAATTCTAATTCTATGTATGATTTTAATTACCCGGAAGAAAATCACAAATCCCAACGTGTGTTTTTTATTATTATTTTAAATTTAATTTAAAAAATCAAATGTACAAAAAAACACATTTTGAACGGTGTCTTTCTTTGTTATTCGCATATCGCCATACAGAAACCGGCTCTAAATTCCATGTCATTCAAATATCAAAAAATATAAAAATGTTGACATATAAAACATAACCTAAAAGTACTTCTAGATAAATTTTTTCCAGAAACAATGTCACATAATTTTGTCTTAATTGAATCAGGAACTAAAGCGTATTTTTTTCTGTTTATGTCAAAATTACAGGCGCCGTAGGTGGTGATGGCGGTGATGATGCCGACGATAAGGAAAAGGCAGAGGAGGAGGAGAGAGAACGTCAGGAGGCCATCCGTGAGGCCGAAGAACGACGCAAGGAGAAGCATCGTCGCATGGAAGAGGAGCGTGAGAAAATGCGACAAGATATTCGTGATAAGGTAAGCATTGAAGACGATATTTTAATTTGAAAATTAAAAAAGCCAAAGAGATTTAAAAAGGGGAGAATTAATAAGGAACAGCGTGTCAGATATCAGAAATGTTTACAGCCTGGGGCGATCGTTGCATGAAGGATTTGCAAATCAAATAATTATTCCGAGATCTATTATAATCGTTAGGATCTTAAAACTCAAATGAATGGTTGATTATGTGGGAAAACGTGAGTAGGTTCTTATAAATACCTATCAAGAGACTATGCCATTACATGGGGGATATTTCAGAGCCTGGACGTACCTGGAACATTTATTCAAAATATAATACGTACCTGGAACATTTATTCAAAATATTAAATTCCATACACTTTTTTTCACATAAAAATCAATTTTCCAAAAAACTATTTAAAAAGAATAAGTCGTTTATGCCGACAGATGTATACCTGAGCGTATGTCCAATTATTAATGTATTCTTGCATGCGCTGTAATTATTCAAAAAGTTGACTCTTTATAGCGGATGTACCCACTTTTATATTATCAATTTCAAAGTAATGCGACATATCAGGTTTGAACTGTATCGACTATTTCCTTAACTTTAAATGAGATATGTGAGAATGATGAACTTTTGTGGGGGAGTAACGAGAAAGATTTGACAGGCTTATCCCATATTTATATCAAGGCTTTAGCTGATAAAGATATTGAGATACACGATATATTAAATAAATCGCTGTTTTTCGCAAGTATGTGTGTTATAATTGTACAAAATTCTGGCCCTTAGTGGAAAGATACCAGAAAAAGAGGGTCGATACATTATACTTCTTATCAGATCTCTGGAATAAAAAAGTTTTGTGATAAACAAAGTTGAAAAAATTAATTATTTATTTAGCATGTTTTTAGATTTATAATAAAAATTTTACCCCTTTGTGGTGGAGATATTAGAAGGAGTGGACCAATATATTCCATCTTCACAGCTGATCTTGTGTTAGAAGAAATATTGCGATATTCCGAGTTTAAAAGAGGTCGGACGCTCGGTTCGCGTTTTATGAGTTTCATGGTTATTTAAATTTTGACCCTTTGTGGGGAGGTACCAGAAGGAGTGGTCCGTTATATCCGTTCGTCATATTAGAGCTTGTGTTAATAAAAAATATTGGTATGTGCCAAATTTGAAGGGAATCTTATGCTTATTGCGCATTTTAAGAGAGACACAATTATTCAAAAATTTGACCCGTTATGGAGAGGTATTAAAAGGAGAAGTCCGATATATTCCATTTTCATACCAAATCATTTGCTGATAAAAATATTAAAATACGCCGAATTTATAGGGAATCATATACTCATTTTGCGTTTTGAGAGTCTCATGGCTATTTAAAATGTAATTATATCCCGTTGTGGGGGTACCAGATGTAGTTGGCCGATATATCCCATCTTCACACATGACATAGCACTATTTCGAACTACAAAGTTTGCACAAAATTAGACGATCACATCTTGTTCTATACGGGTCAATTATTCTTTGTCAACATTTTTGTAAAAATGTTGACCAGCATGAATGGACCGATATTGCACATCTCCGAAATCGATCTAAGTTTGATAATTTTACAATGTACCAAATTTGGATCAAATCGGATACTCCCTTCGAGAGTTCGAGAGGCAGACAGGCGGACACCCCTAAATCCGCTCCAAATGGTCCAACGTTACCTAGGGTCTAAAAACCCGTATTTCGATGAGACACGTTTTGGCCATAGGTATATTGCCTCTGTAGCCATATGACTGAAGGTATAAAACCCTGAAAAAATTGCTTTGATATTCTTATGAATCGCCTAATTCACAAATAGCCTATAAAAACATCTGAAATATTTAAAATACTTTAAACCGGATGATATCCTTAATAAGGCTGTGCCATGTAGTGGACTTATATTAGAAACAACTACCGATTATAAATTCTACCCAGCAATAAATCCAAATGTCAATGTGCTCCTTTTTCTGTTGGGAAAATTTGGGGAAATCTTTGAATTGCCAATCGACATATTATCATGTAAGTGGTATACCCAAAAATGAATTGCTGTACTCCGCCATTCCATTAGATAACATATTTCTTACGTCAATATTTAAAGCGCTACATAAATTAATGCAGTCTCCATCTTTGTCCCATGAAACGGACACACCGACTTAGGATTATGAAAGAATTTCCTCCCACCGTCCACAAACATTTATCTACAGATATAATTAGAATTTTGTTAATTATAAGTTCCTTTCGATACACAAATTACGGAGATAAATCAACACAGATTCTATTAGCTGAAAATAGCAATAAAACAAACATTGGCAACATTTCAATGCTTTCTAACTTTGATCCGCCTTCAATCAAGCAAACTACAACCCTCGTTTTCAATGTAATTTACATGTTTCATGATTTTGTGTTCTTGTTTTATTATTTTGTTTGTTTGTCTGTTTTATTTGTTTGTCTATTCAGTGCTTCTTTATCCGCATCTGTTAATAGTGAGTTGAACTAATTAGTGAAATTTTCTACAAATACGAAATTTGCCAATTACCCTAATTATGTTGCTACCAATTAAACGTGTTTTTTTTTTCTATGCATCATTTGTAAAGAAGGACAAACAACCCCACCAACAACAAGCAACGAATAGTAATTAAATATGCTCCGGAGCTCTAATGCCAGTTACACAGCTATTCATTCTAGGCAGCAGTACACTTGGAGTTCAAATTGACTCTAGTAGGGAGTCCTTTTTATACGAGTGACTCCCTAACGGAGTCAGATTGAATTACTTGGTGTGACCGTACAACAACGAAAACAAAAACAACAAAGGTGATAATGACAACTTGCAACTGCAGTCAGTGTTCGTGTTATTAAAGTGTAATAGTTTTAATTGCAGTTTTTAAAAAAAATATATATACATTAAAAATTAAGAAAAAAAAAACGTGTAAACAATATAATGAAAATTAATCTACAAATGAATTAAAACAAAATGAAGAAAAAACAATGAAATAAAATGAAACAGTGTCATTAGAAAATTAAAATAATAATAAAAGACCAAATGTCGTTTGTGTTTAAACAGCTGGTCATGTGTGTGCGTGAATTTTTACTTTGTTTGCGGTCATCAAAATAATTAAAAACGTTGTCAAAGGATATGCAATTAGATTATTAACAATAAAGGCTTTTGTAAATAGTTGTTAGAATACTGTTTTAGTTTCCTATTTTTTTACACTGAGTTCCCATCCCATTTGGAGAAGCAGGATTTCATACATTTGGGATTCTCTGATACAGGCCTACGTAACCTATATGATGCGTAACTACCACACAGGCTGAGGAGAGAATACACATACAATTTATCCATTCCAGTCGATTATCAGGGCGAGATAAAAAAAACTACAACAACGTCAAATGCCATAATTTTTAATTTTTTTAATTTTATTCAATGAAAGCATGAAATTTAATTGAATGTCGAAAATAGAATCAAATTTTAGAATAAGTTTAGATTTGTTCGAATTGATCACCTATGGCACGAATTATGGCCTTCAAACGGCCAATGAAACCGTCACACGCTGCCCGAATGTTGCTCTGCAGTATTTTGGCCCATTCCCGGTGAAGCGTTTGCTTGAGGCGATCGACACTTTGGTATTTTTTAGTACCAACCATGCTTTCCAAAATACTCCCGACACAATAGTCCAACGGATTGGTGTCCGGAGATTTTGGTGGCCATTGTATGCTGGAAATGAAGCGAGGGACTTAATTTTGTAACCATTCTTCACCACGGCCGGCTTTGGAGTTCTGGTGGGAAACCGAAGATGCACATTTTCAGCTGACCTCTTTGGCAAGTAAACACGATCATTTTGTTTATTTACAAAATGCTGGACAACGAATGTTTTTTCATCGGAGAAAACCAAATTTGGCAGTTCATTACTTTCGGCCAAGCGAAGCAACTCTTTAGCTCTTTTGAGTCTATTTTCTCTCTGTTGCGGTGTAAGTTCTTGCGCCATTTGGAATTTCCATAGCTTTATCCAGAGCTCATTTGGAGCAAGTTGAGTTTAGGGGCTATGCTCGGATCATTTTGAAATTTTTACCGCAGGTAGGTATTTGTAACCTGATTACGGCAATGTAATTTTTTTGTGGGGGAAATACCCGGTTACCCGGTTATTCGACCCAAAAGTTCGAATACAACATCCGGTTTGTATCCGGTTCTACGTAACCGATATCAATAAAATGGGTATCATTTGAAAGCTTATGAAAATACCTATCCAACAAGTGGTCATATGACGGGGTTGCTGGAACCGGTTTCGGAGAAATTTAGAAAAATTTGCATTTTTGTATGAGTACTTTTTGAAAAACCCATAAAAACTCGAAAATGGACCCATTATAGGGTCTTAAAATCTATACACTATATTATAGCTAACACTATTGCCTTTCCAAAATGGTGTCATATGTGTTGATATCTTTTGTGGTTCCGAAGATATAAAAGATAGAATTCATTAAATTATATTTTTCTCCAGTCTAGATGCATTTGACTTTGACCTTTATAGCTTTTTTAAGCAACCGGCCTTTGGCCGTGGCTTAAGATTTTCTCCTCTAGGGTATGTCCAACACCGGCTACGCGATCCATAGTTTTTCTAAAAATTGTAATTTTTGTAAGTAGCCGGCCTTCGGCCGGGGCTTAAGATTTTCTCCTCTGGGGTATGTCCAACACCGGCTACGCGATCCATAGTTTTTCTAAAAATTGTAATTTTTGTAAGTAGCCGGCCTTCGGCCGGGGCTTAAGATTTTCTCCTCTGGGGTATGTCCAACACCGGCTACGCGATCAATAGTTTTCTAAAAATTGTAGTTTTCGAAAGTAGCCGGCCTTCGGCCGGGGCTTAAGATTTTCTCCTCTAGGGTATGTCCAACACCGGCTACGCGATCAATAGTTTCCTAAAAACTGTAGTTTTCGAAAGTAGCCGGCCTTCGGCCGGGGCTTAAGATTTTCTCCTCTGGGGTATGTCCAACACCGGCTACGCGATCCATAGTTTTTCTAAAAATTGTAATTTTTGTAAGTAGCCGGCCTTCGGCCGCGGCTTAAGATTTTCTCCTCTGGGATATGTCCAACACCGACTACGCGATCCATAATATTCTAACAACACCAAATTAAAAACAAAGCAGATTAACAAGAACGTTAAACCCGACACAAAACTTGGCTTCACTCAAACTGCTTTCATAAGTAACGAATTTAAAAGTCAATATCTTCGGAACTACAAAAGATATCAACACATATGACACCATTTTGGAAAGGCAATAGTGTTAGCTATAATATAGTGTATAGATTTTAAGACCCTATAATGGGTCCATTTTCGAGTTTTTATGGGTTTTTCAAAAATTACTCATACAAAAATGCACATTTTCCTAAATTTCTCCGAAACCGGTTCCAGTTACCCCATATATGACCACTTGTTGGATAGGTATTTTCATTAGCTTTCAAATGATACCCATATTATTGATATCGGTTACGTAGAACCGGATATAAACCGGATGTTGTATCCGAACTTTTGGGTCGAATAACCGGGTAACCGGGTATTTCCCCCACAAAAAAATTATATTGCCGTAATCAGGTTACAAATACCTACCTGCGGTAAAAATTTCAGGTCAATCCAAGCATAGCCCCTAAACTCAACTTATGCCGCTCATTTTTCAATATTTGCTGAATGGAATATTGCGATATGTTCAGCTCAAGAGCTATTTTGCGGCCACTGCGACGCGGGTGTCGATCAAGTCGCTTCTTTACTTTTCGAAACATTTCTGCTGATGTTGTTGTTTTTTCCCGTCCACTTCCTTGACTTCGGGCTACGCTCTAGTATCACGGTAACGAACGATGGTACGAGACACAAAATATTCATTCACATTTAAATACTGGAGTGCTCTAACGAGCACTTGTAGTTTTCCAGCCAAATATAAAGAAATCACACTATCACGCTTGAAATCGATCACAAAAAACTTTTTCCGAAAAATTTTCACCAAAATGCTTTTGTACGCTTGTAAACAATATTATGAGCTGTCACTGGAATAATTTTATCAGCTGTCGGACGAGTGGCTTAAAAATGGCAGCAGTCTGAATTTGGTTGCAGTTTTCTCATCTCACCCTTATGTACTTTTGCAAAGAAAAGCAAGGTAGATGTGGTATTAATTTTATTGAGATGACATTTTCGATTTTTTTTTTTTGCCCAAGGACAACCCCAATTGAAATTGGTAGTAATATCTTCCAATATTTTAGATTTTATTGTGCAGGAACATAGGATGGAACTTGTAAAATTATGAAATTTATTGAAAATCGGTTCAGGTATAGCTACAGCTCCCATACCTTTGTTTCATCCGTTTTGATTTTTAAGTCCTCCAAATTCGTAATGTACAATGATATTCGGCATAAGCTATCAGATACGGCCTAAAACTACTTTTGGCAAATTGTGTCGAAATCGGTTCAGATTAAGATATAGGTCCCATATATAGATCCCTCTAGTTTAATGTATATGATTCACAAATCATGTACCATTAGAGTCTGTCTGTCAAGTTTAGACCAAATCGATGTGGGCATAGCTATAGCTCCCACATATGTGTTCTATGCGATTTTATATAAAAGCCTTCTCAAAGTCATAATAAGCATTCTATATTAAAAATATTTGTTACGAGAGGTCACATACAACAGAAAACAATGCTTCCGCAAAAATTTAGTGAAAATCACTTCAGATTAAGATATAACTCCAAAATATTAATTTAATCCGATTTCAAGTGAAAACCGATTTAAAGCCGCAACAGCAATGCAAGCTTTCCAATGCAACATTGGAAAATTGTATTATTTAAATTTTGAAGACGTAAATTGCCAACGAAACCATAAAATGCAAAACAAGTTTCTTTTGAATTAAGACATTCTTTGGATAAATAGCCTTTTACTTGGAGTACGATTATTAATACCCTCATAACGTTTTGTATGGCATTTGCATTAAACAAATAAGATAACCGTTATTACATTATAACTTTTTCCATAATCCAAAATAAAGAACGTTACAGTCATACTTAACTTCCCAATTAAAAGATTCACGCGAATAAATCTTCCCAATTGACTTTCTTCTATTCCTTAAACGAATTTTACGCCCTCGAGCGATAACCGAGTTGTATGCCATATATTCTCTTATTATCAGAGCAAGTAGGTGCATAGCGTTTTCTTAATTAACTCAATAAACGTAAAATTAATGGCGTCAGATACGCGTTTAATTTATACGAAGAAAATTGAACTTATTTATGATACTATGGCGGAGGATGATAATTGTTACACCTTAAGAGGTAGAATTCAACTACATTTCTAAAGGTTTGCATTTGTGTGGAGGTGAGTGTGAGTGGGTGGGTGCGTATTTATCTTGATCAAGAACATAAATAAACAAACCAACAATTGCTATGGCAACAAGAAACATTCCTTTATTCATAGCTTTCTCATACACATACACGGCCAGCATCAACATTTACATTTTGAATGTCTGAAATACAATTCATTTACGATTTTATCTCGCACCCAGGCAGGTTTCTATCGAGTTTTGCCCATGGCCGTAATTAAGACAACTAACAAAATCATTCATTTTGACCATTGATTGCTTCTTAGTTAGGCAAATAATTTCCTAGTTAATGGCCAGCATTTTGGGCGATGGATAAATTGTCTGAGTCCGAATTAAGTGTATATTTACACATCCGTGTACACCATCTCCCAACACAATTTACCTGAGATGTTGTCGAGTTAATTTTCTTAAAATCAATGGAGATTAGTGGCCTGAAATTACCCATCCGAATGAACGGTTTGATAGGGGCAATATAAATATTTAAGTTACAAATTATAAAGTCTTGGCAACAAATTCGTTTGCTTTAAAGAATTTTCTCACTGAGAAGTTCAATTAAATGGGAATTTTGGGAAAATTTACAATCAAATGAGAATTATTGTTAAGTTTGTGGCAGGATAATGATAAACTGTCTTTTAAAAATTAAATTTTTTTTAATTGAAAAGCCATTGATTTGTCATAGATTTCTTTGTCTGAAAATCATTTATTTTCTTGATAAATGTAGCAACCTGAAGGAGGAGCATCCAGAATTGATTAAAGTAATTTAAATCTAAGTAAAAGAAAATGTAATTTAATTCAACCTCTAAATAAGTAGGCTACAGTTTTCCACAAAATTTAGGTTTCGTATCTGATATAAGTCTGATATAAATATCACAACATACCAAAATTGGGAGGGTATCGACTACTTTCTTCACTTTTTATGAAATATGTGAAAAGTTTTAGAAAATGCTTGCTTGAGGTGATCGACACTTTGGTATTTTTTAGTACCAACCTTGCTTTCCAAAATATTCCAGACACAATAGTCCAACGGATTGGTATCCGGAGATTTTGGTGGCCATTGCGCGCTGTAAATGAAGCGAGGAATTTCATTTTGTAAACATTCTTGGGTGGCGCGTGCTGAGTGCTATGGTGCTGAGTCCTATTGGAATGTCCAAGATCTGCGACCAAAATATTTGCGTGCCCAAGGCTTTAATACACTCTCCAGAATATTTTTGCGATAATATTCGGCATTTATTCTGATGCCATGGTCGATTAATACGAGCGGAGAACGACCATAGGCTGTTTCGTCGCTTAAGTTCTGGTGACCAAGCGTAGGTGCGTATTTTCAGCTGACCTCTTTGACAAGTGAACACGATCATTTTGTTTGTTTCCAAACTGCAGGACAACGAATGTTTTTTCATCGGAGAAAACCAAATTCGGCAGTTCACCACTTTCGGCCAAGCGAAGCAACTGTTTAGCTCTCTTGAGTCTATTTTCTTTCTGTTGCGGTGCAAGTTTTTGACTTTTTTGGAATTTCAATGGCTTAATTCCGAGCTCACTTTTCTATATATGTGACGAATGGAGTATTGCCATATGTTCAGCTCACGAGCCATTTTTCGGTCACTTCAATGCGGGTTTTGATCAAGTTGCTTCTTTACTTTTCGAACCATTTCTGCTGATGTTACTGTTTTCGTCCGTCCACTTCCTTGACGTTGGGCTACGCTACCAGTATCACGGGAACGAGCGATGGTCCGAGACGCAAAAGATTTATTCATTTAAATGCTGGAGTGCTCTAACTTTATTTAAATGCTGGAGTGCTCTAACGATAGCCACTTGTGGTTTTCCAGCCAATTATAAAGAAATCACACTATCACGCTTAAATTCCATCTGGAAAATTCTCAAAAAAAATGCTTTTGTACGCTTGTAAACAATATAATGAGCTGTCACTGGAATAATTTTAACATTTGTCGGATGAATGGCTTGGAAATGATAGCAGTCTGAAGTTGGTTGCTGTTTTTTCACCTCACCCTACAAATATTCGATTTTCTTATGACTTTGTTCATAACAATATTGTTATCTGTATTAGATAATGTGTGAAAATGGAATACTTCGATCCACTATATCTGGTAGCTCACTCTCATTTTAACATTTCTTGCAAATTAGCACATGTCCCATATAGTTCATACCATTATATCATATTTATTTACATCTGTTACGGAATGGAAAATACTGGCCCATTCCTCTAGAACCCACTGCATAGAGTGTCAAGATTTCGAATAATAACAAAAGTCAAAATATATTTAAATAACCGAACATTGGGTAAGGGTATACATCTGTCGGAAAACCCGACTGCCAACTTTCAACTTTTTTGAAATATTTACAAAAACCTCGGGCAAGATATTCGTACTAACTCCATACAACAGCTTTAAAATTCCCTCAACATCACTTAAAGTCTAATTAAATAAGTTTTTAAAATGAATCTACCAATTATGTTAGAAAAGATATGTACATTTTGTTCGCTATTTAGGTAATTTTATATCTATTCTATAAAATATCTTCTCAAATAAATAATAAATTGTTATTATTTTGGTGCATTCTTTTCATTACAGTATAACATCAAGAAGAAAGAGGAGGTAGTAGAACAACAGATGCCACAAGAGGAGCCAAATCCACTGATGCGGAAAAAGAAAACGCCAGAAGAGTTGGCTGCCGAGGCTGAGCAAGAAGAACTTGATGATTTCACGAGTAAGTTAAATTTTCATTTTTCCATTTTTCTTGGCTATTTTATCTTTTCAGAACACAACAAATATATTTATTTTTTTTTTTTCGAATTGTTTTTAACAATATTTAACAACACATCTCTCTATCTCACCCAAGTACTACTTATCTACCACCATTTCTAACCAAAAAGCAAAAAAGAAAAAAATAATAACAAAAAAGAAACGAAAGCTACAACTAAAACCCCCCCTTAAAGTAAATAATAATTAAAAAACAGCAACAACCAGTCACTAACTAACAAATTTTATTCTACGATATTTATTTTCGATATTGATTCCAATGAAATGCATTCTTCCTAACCCTAACTACCTTTTTCGATAAAGTAAAACTAAAGTACAATAAACAGCAACTACGTCTATTTATCTTTCAATTTCTATTTTTAAGAATTTTTTTTTTTACCGTATAAAAATAAATTTCTATCTAAATCACATACTACTACAAGAACAACAGAGTCAATAACAACAACAACAACAACTATTACAGCTACAACTGAGAATGGTTTTTGAGTACAAGATTTTATTTCAAAGTAGAATTCGTTTTCTTTAGATCAACTCTTTTTCAATGTGCGTGTGTATGTGTTACAATTAAAAAACAAATTACCAGCAGCAACAACAACACAAAAACGTTTGTTTTACCACCATCACAACAACAGATTCTATCGATATATATATATATTTAACACAATAAGTTTAATAGCTTTCTACTACGTCACACAATTATTCTATAACTTCTAAAACACAATGTACTTATGTGTATGTAAAAAAGTTGTACTTGCTGTTATCTTCCTTCAACTTTCTTCTCTTAAATCTCTGCTCTTCTACTACTACTACTACTTCTACCGCTACTTATACTACTACTACTACTACTACTTTAAAACTTTGTCTTATCTATCGAATGATCTACGATAACAAATACAAAAGATAAATAAAACAAACTGTTACGAAACAAAAATGCAATATTGTAAACATGGTTATAATTTAAGGAGATGTAAAGAATATAAAAATATATAATGATGTGTTCTTTATGCATGATATGTACATGGTATATAGGCTGCAGACAGTGGTGTACAATGAGGTTGCAAAGAAAGCAAAAAAAGATCCGTTGCAACGTATAAAGCCCTTTCCATTTTTTTTTGTCTGGTAGCTTCAGTAGCTTTCTGTTCTATCAAATGGCATGTGTACGAAAATACTTAGAGGAGTTGAGAGTATTCGGTTAGTACATTAACATCCCAAAAATGTTTGGGTTTCTCAGCCCAATTTTTTTTATGGCATTTTTATACCTTACACCTAACTGTGATACAGATTATTATGTCTTTGTGCGCTTCTATGTTTGTTTTGGTGATTGCCATTCGTCGTCTCTCGACCGTCCGTCTTTCAATGTATATTTGTAAGCAAATTTTTCACAAATTATTAGTTTGTCCCAAGGACGAACCCTATTGGCGATAATCTGCCACAAATGTAGATATAGCTTCCATATATATCTTTGTAAGTTTTCAATTTCGTTGTGGACCAAATGTGAAATATCCCAAATAGGATGCATGTTGGCACATGCGACCGTATGTAGTCTAAAAATAACTTTATGAAATTTAGCAACGATGTACGGTACAAGATATCATATATAGTTCAGAAATACCATTGCTAAATGTTGTCGATATCAGATTGGATTTGGATATGGCGCCCATATATATTTTCATACGATTTAGTATTTGCCGTTCACCAAATGTGTTATAGCAGTCCAAATTGGATGAATTTTGGTACGTAAATGAACACAGTTTTGTAGGGTTATTGGCTTACTAATATTCTTACCAATTCGCAAAAGGTCTGCAACATTTTGCTCAATACTTTACAAAATTTTAGGATAGAGCATTCGCAGTATAATAGAAATGTTAGGGCTACACCTAGAATCATTGGGCCATATCTGTTCACTTTTTATACACTCCACCTTGGAAAGGAGGATATATTAACTTTGTCATTCCATTTGTAACATCTCTAAATATTCGTCGTAGACCCCCTAAAGTATACAGGGTGAGATAAAAAAACTGCAGCAATAAGTTCAGCTCACGAGCTAGTGCGGCACGGGTTTCGATCAGATAGCATCTTTGCTTTTCGTCCACTTCCTTGACGTCGGGCTACGCTACCAGTAGCACGGTAAAGAGCGATGGTACGAGACACAAAAGTTTTTTTTTCACATTTAAATTCTGAAGTGCTCTAACGATAGCCACTTGTGGCTTTCCAGCCAAATATAAAGAAATCACACTATTACGCTTGAATTCCATCAGGAATAACTTTTTTTCTGGGAAATTCTCACCAAAATGCTTTCGTACGCTTGTAAACAATATAATGAGCTGTCACTGGAATAATTTTAGCAGCTGTCGAACGGATGGCTTAGAAATGACAGCAGTCTGAAGTTGGTTGAAGTTTTTTCATCTCACTCTGTGTAATAGAAATGTTCGAACTACAGCTAGAATCATTGGTTCATATCGAGATATTCAGTTAAATATTCTGTCCGGAATGTAGTCTCAATATAAAACTTTCCCTCCAATTTCAGATTAAAAAAAAAAAAAAAAAAAAAAACAAAAAAGCCTCGACATGTACTTTAAGTTATTTGTCCAGATGTTAATATTTGTAACTAAATGTATTAGCCCAGTATGCAGAAAAGCATATGCTCTGAAAGAACCTTTTGAGATGTTTACCATCTCATGGAAGTGTTTTTTTTTTTTTTTTTTTATCGAAGCCTGGATCTATGTTGACGTGAAGATACCATATCTAATGTAAGAAATATACAACATCTAGGCTTTGAAAAGAAATATTTTTACTTCAATTAAAAAAACGTGTGCAGTATATACACCTTTAAACTAACACCACTCTTATGTTAAAACCAATATGCAATCGATTCACTTAAATTATAGCCATGTTCACCGTTATTTTCTACTACAAAAAAAAAATCAACAAAGATATATCAACAGCAATGCCGCATGACCAACCTAAGACTACGATGCGTCGTCTTCGCCTGAAGTCATTAAAGTTGCAACCCAAATATTGTGAGTTTTTGGGAATATTTGTTGCCATAGCTTATCTTCAACGATTGATAAACTATTGAACTTTTTTTTTAACAAATATTCAAAACCCACAATGTTTTAAAATCGCTTTAATGATCTTCTTTTTTTTAATCAACGAATATAAATAAACTTCCAAAGACATAACACAACAATGAACAACAAATCAAATCACAATAACAACACATTTTATTTTTGAATATCTAATAATTTTTTGTATGTGCTAGTGAAAGGATATTGCCATTTAAACGCTAGTACAATTCCATTGTCTGTATGTGTTGTCAGACAAATAATTTATATTAGAATCATGACATTTTGTTGTGAATAAAATAATGCCAAGTGTCATCGGCTATATATATATATTTTTTTGGAAAATCCTCTAATGAGAAATTTTCGATTCAAAGAACTTTTTCGATTAGTATTTTTTTAATTAATTTAATTTTTAAGTTTTTTAATATGGGGACGTATACATATTTTGATGTAAATAATAATAATAATAATAATATTAATAATAATAATAATAATAATAATAATAATAATAATAATAATAATAATAATAATAATAATAGTAATAATAATAATAATAATAATAATAATAATAATAATAATAATAATAATAATAATAATAATAATACGTTCCATAGCACTCTTTTTAAATTCAATACTTATACGCCGCGGAAACGTAAAATGCACAACTTTGAAATAATTATCCGTGAAAACCCGTAATGCAAATAAATCCTCCTGTTCGATTTTCTGATATATTTATTTATTTTTCATTTCTTACCTCGAAAAAGTTCTTCGTCTCTTTAGTTCTGTACGTTAGAGGGTTACTTATACATTTTGTATTTGTAGTGATATAATTCATTTAAAAAATATTCCTCTCATATCCTAACTATTCTCTCCTAAATCTATCGCTACTATCCTTTCCTATTTCTCTCACTTAATTTCCAAAAACAACCAAAACCAAGAAACACATTAATACCAACAAAAAGTAAAACTGTGTCTACCCTTTTTTCATCTAAATTCTAAGCCATAAATATTGTTTAATTCTTTTTTATAATTTTGAATTTTAAATAATTTCTGCTTGAGTTATGTGCACATTAGTCTTTAAATCGCTGTTGCACGTTAGATTATCCTTGATTGCATATTCTAATTTAATCTTATGTATATCTTCTTTATGAATACAATAACGTGAAAAATACAAATTCATACAAGTCTTTTGCCAATAATATTTTCTGAAGTTGGGAATGTTTAAAAGTCATTTTAAACTATTGCAGTATATTTTAATAAATTTGATTATCGCTATTATTCTTCTAAAGGCTGGCAATAAACAGAACCTAAATTTTACATTAAAAGAGTGATCCATATCTCGGATACAATCCATATCTCGGATACAACTGCAGGTTACATTTGACGTATACAGGATGATATAAAGAAAACTGCAACAAAGTCAAACGCCATAATTTTTACATTTTTTTTTTAGTTTTATTGAATGAAAGCAAAAAAATTCGAAAGTAGCATCAACTTTTAGAATAAGTTTAGATTTTTCGAATTGGTCACCATTGGCACGAATTATGGCCTTCAATGAAACAGTCACACGCTGCCCGAATTTTGCTCTGCGGTATTTTGGCCCATTCCCGGCGAAGCGCTTGCTTGAGGTGATCGACACTTTGGCATTTTTAGTGCCAACATTCCTTTCCAAAATACTCCAGACACAATAGTCCAACGGATTGGTATCCTGAGGTTTCCATGACCATGGAAACGAGGCCAAAGGAAGCGAGGAACCTTATTTTGTTACCATTCTTGGGTGGGGCGTCCTGAGTGCGAAGGTGCTGAGTCCTGTTGGAATATCCAAGGCTTTAATACACCCTCCAGAATAGTGTCGTTGTTCCTTTTGTATAAATTTCCTTTTGTATAAAGGACAGGACCTCAGTGTTTTTCCATATGTAGCTACAGGTCATCTTTTCGCAGACTAAGAAAAAATTGCTTCTCAACAACATGCTAACGGATAACCCATTTATATCATAGCTTGTTTTATATATATATATATAAAAACTCAGACACCAGTCTAATGTCTTCCAATAACCCTCCACATAATACTAGTTTACAATTTCAAAAGCAGAAGCAAAAAAAAAATGCAATTAAAATGCACATTTAATGGGTTTTAAAAGATTAAAATATCTGCAGACAAAAGCAGACAAAAACAAAAAAAAAACGCTAGTCCCCAGTCGACAAACTTTGGCCAACTTTTTTATTTTACCCATTTGCCATTTCCCACACTTCTTCTGTCTAGAATCAAATTATTACCACTTAAGAGGTGTACATTTAATTCATGTGATTAACATTTGTCCGACACATTATGGACGTCCGACTTTACCGCAGCATTGGCCGGGATACTGCAATCAATCTGCTCACAGCAAGATGGAAATGGCTCTTCTACATGTCGATGCTGGTAGCTTTCAGATTACATAGCCGGGAATTTTAAAAGTTAAGTCCAGATGTAGTTTTTGCATGCATTTTAATTGAAAAATTGTTGAGCCAGAAAAGTTTCAGAGCGAAATACAAAAAACAAAAAGACACATAAATGAACCGACGTACAAACACAACCAAACGAAACGATTCACAGCCATGAGACAAGGTATTTCCGAGAAAATCTCAATTAAAAATGGAATAATTTAAAAGGTTGTTCCAATGACAGCAAGAGAAGTGTCGAGTGTGGAGGACAGGCGGATTAAAATACGAATGATTTTTATTTGTATAAAAAATTAACGCAAGAGTCCTTAATGTAAAATGGCGTTATAAAGTGTTTAAAAAAAGAAATCAGAGTCTCGCTACATGTCCAACACTGTCTAGAACTTTTAAGGAACCTGAAATTTTCAACTAGACTGCAGTGTTTGTTTTCTGGTTGGAGGTTACCATGTTTGCCAATTGTCTCTATTTGAAAATGCTGAACTCTTAGCAAAGAGAACCTATAATAAATTATGCTTTTTGAACTTCAATTCATCCCATCCTCAGATAATAATAAAAAAAAAATAATGCAATTTTGGAAACTCAATTTTAGAGTATCAGGAGATTTGGAGATGTGCAGAGTTTCGACATTTAATTTGTTTGTGAATATTTACATATTTACTTGGGCTTCTAAGAGTTTAGGAGATTCTTTGTTGATTGACCAATCTGTCTCAAAATATCAAACCAAAATATATATTTCGTGTACGGCTTTTTAATGCACAAAATTCTGTAGATAAATTGCACTGCTTATATTCAGAAGAAAATCTATAAAACCAAATATTATGTTGCATTTTTATGTTTTTTTTTTTTTTTTTGAGTTCATTTATTATAAAACAAAAGATATATTATAAATATAAGTTCATAGAAAAGATAGGAAACACAGTGTTGCTTTTTTGTCAAAATATGTGTAATTGTATGTGTATGTTTTATATGAAAAATAATAGGTTGATATATATTAATGTAAACTAAATAACAAATAAACAAACTAATCAATTGAACAGTGTGAAACGTATGGCAAAATGTTGGACACGAGGTAGTGACGTACTCAGACGTGTATTTCAAGCCATGTCAGGAGATATTTTTGCCCAGATAGCAAAAAAAATTCCATGTATAATGTATAAAATATGGCAGAAGTTAGAAATTTCGGAGGGAACTCGTATGTTTTTGAATTTGTATTTAAATTACGTACGTCACTGAATTTTTTTCGTAATTGAGATAAAAATTGCGATCGACCTCCCTAAATAGGGTTTAAACATTTTTTTGTAAATTGAAATGGTTAACAATTAAAATACCTTCCATTGCCGCTACACTTATTTGAAAACTACAGCAAGATAAGGACCTTTTCCATCTCCATAGCATAAATAACATTCAATTAACAAATTGCACATTCATTCATCCCAACATGATTAATATACAGGCTGAGGGTCAAACTCCATAATTTTTACTTTTTTTTTTTCCATTTTTTTTTTGAATGAAAGCAAAAAATGTCGAAAATAGCATCAAATTTTAAAATAAGTTTAGATTTGTTCGAATTAGTCACCTTTGGCATGAATTATGGCCTTCGAATGACCAATGAAACCGTCGTACGCTACCCAAATGTTGCTCTGCGGTATTTTGGTCATTCCCGGTGAAGCTCTTGATTGAGGTTATCGACACTTTGGTATTTTTAAGTGCCAACCTTGCTTTCCAAAATACTCCAGACACAATAGTGCAAATGATTGGTATCCGGAGATTTTGATGACCATTGTGCGCTGGAAATGAATCGAGGAACCTCATTTTGTAACCAATCTTGGGTGGCGCCTGCTGAGTGCGATGGTTCTAAGTTCTGTTGGAATGTCCAAGATCTGCGGCCAAAATGTTCGCGTGTCCAAGGCTTTAATACACCCTCCAGAATATTTTCGCGATAATATTCAGCGGAGAGCGACCATCGGCTGTTATGGCGGCCACACTATCACCGTGGCCGGCGCTTGATATCTTGTGGCCAACCGAGGGTGCACATTTTCAGCTGACCTCTCTAACAGGTAAACGAGATCATTTTGTTCGTTTACAAACAGCTGGACAACGAATGATTTCTCATCGGAGAAACCCAAATTCGGCAGTTCACCACTTTCGGCCAAGCGAAGCAACTCTTTAGCTCTTTTGAGTCTATTTTCTTTCCCACATAACAGTACCTCCCTATATTGGTTATTTTATTGATATTAGCGACATTTTTAATCGCTTCCAGTTTTCCAGTATTTTTATGATTTTTTTTATTATATTTCAACGGATTTTTTTTTTTGACAATTTTGCAAATTCCATCTAAATGATGGAGTGTATTGAAAGTTCTTTTTTACTTGCTTTCATTTTTCTAAAAGATTACGCATTATGCATTTTTTAAATAACGGAAGTAAAATTCTGTTTTATATATGTTTCAGATGTCGTTCGAAACATTTCATTTGAAATTCGAGAATTGCATTGGAAATACGCAAAATTGAAATATTTATTTGAGAGTTCATTGTGATTCGTCACAGTCTATTTGAAAAACCAATTTACATCCGTGCTTGCTTTTTTTGAAGTACAATTAATGTTATTCGAATAAAACATGGTACAACTCAAGTTTTGAATGGAATGATTCGAATATAAAATGCAAAAGTTCGAATTTCAAATAAACTAATTTTAATTAATATAAAAATTAATTTGGGATTTCTAGAATATTTTCTGGAGTAACAATACATTTTTTTTATGAATTAAATGTTACGGATTACAATGAAAATGTTTTGAATTGTCTCTAGGACAATGCCTGGGCTATAAAGGTCACCAGATTCGAGTGAATCCGACCTTTTTACTCATTTTGTTGTAAATAGTTTTTGAATGTACGGCTGTGGTTAACATGCCTCGCGATATCGTGGCATTTTATAGCTTGGCTAGGCATATCAGAAAGTTTAAACCTTGGCAATTTCGGACAAGAATATTTTTTCTAAAAGTCGAACCACATTCTAAGGTCCCGTTGAATTGTGAATAAAATTTGGCTTGAAATATTAAAAAGATAATCCAAACCTAATGGAATTAAAATGTTTTGAAAAAAATTATATTTGGCATAATATATACTTTTGAAAACTATTATTAAAATAAATATTTTTTACACATGTTCAAAGTCTTTTTTGGCAAAATTGTGACTTCAATTTCAATACTTTTTCATATAAACACATACAAATACAAAAAAAATAGTGTTATTAGTATCAAGAAAGGATATAAAAAATAAGAAAACCAATTATTAACACCAAGCACTAACATTATCACATACATTATTTTTTAACCACCATCACTACTGAACCTCCAACCTCACAAACCAGAACCATAAAATTATATTTTTTTGTTAAAAATAAATTATTCTATCACCACCACCACCACCACCACCACTATCTCAAATTACTACCAATTATTCACATTTACTTTCCAAGAAATAAATTTACAACTCTACTACCACTACAACTACAATAACTCGTAACATGAAATGCTTATTTATTGCTGTTTCCATTACTCAATTTCTTCTTACAGAACTGAAAAATCAAATAGAAACGCAAGTAAATGAGCTAAAAACCCAAATAGAGGGAAAATGCGTCATGCAGTGATATGTCAACATAATTCTATATAAATTATATGAATAATATAATAATACCAAAAATAAATAACAACAACATGCATAAACAACAGCTAAAAGATAAACAACAGCAACAAAATAATATACTTCAATAATATACATATTACAGCAAAAACACAATAATACATAATAATAATAATAAAAGAGATAATAAATATAAAATTTATAATAAAATTTAAAATGAGAGGGATAAATAACAAAAAACCCCACATTCATATTATATTGGCGGAATATACAAATTATATATACAACTTATATATAACAAAAAAAAAATTAAACAAATTTGAAAACGTATAACCGAAATGGAAGTATAACTGCTGAATTGCATGAAAACAAAATAAGGCTACATATATTTAAAAAATAACAACAACAAATTCAACAACAACACATTTACATCAACAAGAACAACCATATAACAAATACAACAAACAAAATGGATATATATACATACTATATACATTTACAATAGTCTTTACAATATATATAACAAAGAACAAAATAAATAAATAAATGAAAAAAACTAAAGACAAATTTACATATATATATACATATATATACAAACTTACATACATGTATAGACTATGTATATAAACCGTATATATATACATATATATAATTTGCATAAACAAACATAAACTAACAATCTTAACAAAACAAAAAAATCAAGAAGCACTACTACAACCCAACAACAACAACAAATATATATTTCAAATTTCAACGTTTAAACTGGATACTCTCAATCTCAATGAATTACATCAATAACTGCATTATTATATTCTCTATTTAAATAAATAACATTTATAGTAACAACAAGAGCAACTACCAAGAAAAAAGTACTATGCTATAAAAAATACTTATAAAATAATACAAAACACCTAACCATAATTGAAGCAAAAAAAAAAAAAGAAAAACATCCCGAACACAATGCTGGCAACCCTTGCATAAGTCGATCAACAACATCTGAATCAAAAAGAAGAAGAACAACAAACAATTTTATGTTACACCTCTGTAGTTCTTAAACTAGGGATATGAAAATATTTCGATTTTGAAATAATTTGATTTTCGATCTATATCGTTATGATGTTTTCCGGAATGTGAACAGGGCTGTTGTTAAAATTAGATTATATTCCAATTAGAATTAAATAATATAAATCTGAAATATTTTTTCAACACCGATTTCTAATCAAATTTGATTGTTTCATAAAAATGTCAGTGTTAATAGGATGACATCATTTCATAATTTCCACAACAGCCAACTCGTTGCTATCGAGATATTATGTCCCTATTCAAAAAGTAAAATTTCCATCGACTCTTTAAACAAATACTTATTAAATAAATTGGCTTGCATAGAACTCCTTACAACAGAAAGTCCCAAACTATCACTACAACCTTGCTGATTAGAGTGAAATAGTATTAAAAAAACAGCTGCTGCTCTTAATGAAGTGCTCCTCTCACGAACTACAAACAGACGATTATGAAAAAAGTAATCGAATATTGATTACTTTTGAGTACTGTAAGGAAAGAGTAAGAAAAAACGAAAAACCAAAGCCTTTAAAAAAACCAAACAAAAAAATTTAGAAGAAATTTGTGAAAATCATTTAAAATAATAAACTATAGCCGAATAGTAAAGAATTAATAATTTTGAAAAATTGACAACATTTTAGTAAGGAAAACAAATAACAAAACCAAAACAAAATGAAATGGCAAACAACAACAAAAAACAAGCATTACTTAGGCTGTTAATGAATTTGATTAAATTGAAATATGGTAATTAAACAAAATTGAAATAAATCACAAAATAAAATTCGTAAACAATCTAGTTAAGCTTTAATTTCAAAGGAACTTAAAGAGAATCGTCGTTTCCCTATTTATTTCTTCAATTTGTTTGCTCCTCGACGAAAACGAAAGACAAAACAAAAATAAACATAAAACAGCTGCTAATCTGTTGATTACCCTCTCCAAACCAATCTGAACTAAACTATAAACTTTGTTCAACTGTTAAGTCATCACTATCTCTCTTTCTCTCTTACTCTCTTCAACTTATATATAACTCTCTATTAAAAATTCACATAATTCTTATTTTATCTCTCCCTATTTCTTCGTCTCTCTTTTTAATTGTTCTCTGAGATATGACTTTTAACAAACTTAATCTTTGGTATTGATGAGTTTGATACAAAATGTAAGTAGAACACAATTTTCATTTTTTTTTTATTATTATAAATAAATACTATTTATTCGTTATACATAAAGAACAACTTGTATTAAACTATTCGTTATTTTGTATTTATTTAAAAAACCAATAAAACTAATCACAACAAAATGATTTTTGATGCACAATTGTTCTTTTTCTCACCTACACTCTCTGAATAATATTTACTCATTATTGTATGTTTATGTGTTAGTATTTACTGTGGTTTCTAAGTTCGGGACGCCGTCGTTACACCGGCCGAGACCCCACATTTAATCTTGTTCTCTCTGTGTCTTTAACATATGGAATGTACGTTTATTCAACGGTATAGATCTTAAATAACATTCCATTAATTTGTATTCGGGGTAAAGTAAGTTTCATTTACTTAATCCTGAAAAAATATATTCAATAGAAATATTATTATTATTTACTTTGTTGTCATAGGCGGTATAAAATCAGGCGTTTAAAATTTGTAGCTTAAGGAACATGTTGGTAAATCGACTTTTGTATAAAAAGGGTTTCGGTTAAATCCAAAAGTCGACTTCACGTAGTATTCTTTTCTTATTTTGTGAACATAGGTTTCATGTAGTTTTTAATTATGCCAGCCTAAAAGTATGCAAATATTAATGATTGCGTTTAACCGGTTTGCAACACTAGGTATTAAATCGATATCAGTCGACATTGGATGGGAAGTAAAAATGGATTTTAAGATTTTTGAATAAAATCGATGCTTGTTTGATTTTCGTAGTAGTGTGGTAAACTAAACTGAAACATTATTTTCTTGGAAGTTTAAGCTTAAGTAATATAACTAACTATAACTAAAGCCATGCGATAAAATCAACAAACAAAACATAATATGATTTTCAAGGAGATCCATCAATAACAAAAGGGCATGTTTCACTAGATTCTTGGTAGTACAAATTCAGTTATGGTAGGATGGTAGGTTGTACTTCTAATCAGATATAACACTTGCTCTTTATTGCTCGCCAGTGAAAAATACTCACAATAGAGAGTGCTCGAAGAGTACGAGTTTTACACGGAGTTTGATCTCCACTTCTGTATGTAAAATAAGAGTGGGAGTTGAAATCCTCAAATTAGAGTAAGACTTTGCTTGAGAGTAAACAATAATTCGGTTTGCGGATTTGTTCTTGTGTGTGTTTTATCCAACACAGATTTTGATTTTTCCGTCGACTGGGGGCTAGATCGTGTACAAAAAGTCAGGAAGAGAAAAACAGCCGAAGCAAGCATCCGGTGTATTCAGTGTACATAAACCACAAATACAATCGCATTTCATATGCGGCATCAGCTAAAACTATGTGCCAGCGGATCTGTTTTAGATTTTAGGTGTTGTGTAATTTGCCTTGCTAGTTTTCCTACCAGACTATGGATAATTTTGCCAGAAATTTCTGCTTTTATATATCTCAAGAACGCTATTAACCTGAGCACAGATTACTTTCCAGATAAATGTTAGAAAGCCGGGAGTCTGTCTAAATTTACACCGCGGAATTGCATATTTATCTTGAGTGATGAAACCCCTGTCCATATATTTCTGTTATAATGACATTAGGTTAACCACAAATTAAATCTGTAAATAATAACATTTTGATCTGTTATTAACATTTTGGGCATACAAAACAAAGTAATTTCAACTATATAATTACCAAACAAAATACGTTAAAACTGCCACAACATACTTTGAGCACAACCATTTATGATTTTGGTACAAAACCTAGCTCCAAGCACACTGTAAAAATTCTCATTTATTCTTCTATATTTTCTGACTCTTCTTTTGTAAATATTTAGGGACAACCACAAGTTTAGTAGAAAAAAGAAAACAAAACAAAAAAATAAAACAACCACAACATATTTTTCCACTAAACGGAAAAATATGTTTGAAAATAGCTAAAGCAATTTTGTGATAAGAAAATAGCAAAATCCTCTCCGTATGATAAAACATCACATATCCCCCCAAAAAACACTTAGTGCACCCTGATGTTTCAGACAGATTCAAATTTAAACAAACCAAAATAGTAGACGGAATAATTTTTTTTTTTCGTATAATTATAAACATAAATTATATATTTAAAAAAGTGCATAAAGCTGTGATAGTTTTAAAGAAGACAAATTTGCATACAATTTAGACAAGAAAATCTCTAGAGGTTTTTGTTTAGCAAAATAAACCAAAAAAGAAATTGAAATCATAAACATGAATATTACAGGAAACAGCATTCAGAGTTGCACTTAAACATAATCATTTAAATGTCGTGTAGCAAAAGCAATAAAAATCGCAGTTAAAAAATATTAAAAAGAATTTACATAAAACCCCACCAAAATGAGCTCCCCAAATACAACGTTGCAGATACAAGGAATACAATAGCCTATTAAGTATACTCAATAGAAAATGATGTTAGTTTGCTTTATTTATTTCCACAAGATTTTATTGTGAACCAAAAAGATATTGACATTTGAAGGCAGCGCAAGACAATTTATTTGCAACAAAAAAGTAGAATTAATGACAGAAGCGGTTAAGCTTAGATTTATTACTAACTGGTTTAATGGTACCCAAATTACAATTTTTGATGATACTTATTTTTTCAATACTTCCAAATACTGTAAAACTCATAACATTATGGGCAATTCTTTGGAACTAGGCTGACCACAATGGACGCATAGTCACTGGTCAACAGCAGATGATATATTTATAACATAAAAAGGAAAGCACTAAAGACTAGCTTTATGTTAGGCGCCAATTTAAATTGCAAATTATTTGACTGAAGCTAAAAATCATTTTCCAAAATGTAGTGGAATACAATTTCCCGAAAGATAAATTTCAGAATTCTGTGAATTTAGAAATAAAAGAATTCACCAAATTAACTGCCTATTGGTCGCCAATTTTATATACATCCTTCATAGCTTAATGTTATGAGTTTTAAATTTTAAATTTCATTGTAAAATTTTTGATTTACGGCACTGATCGTAAATATAAGAGAAAGCAGAGTACATATGCAACTAATCTCATATGACAGAAAACTGAGCACTCCTGCGCTTGATCCTTGGACCAGCTAGGTGCTGCTGTCCTAACATTCAAATCCATACAATTAACACCCTAAAGCTATTGTTTTGTGTCGTATTACCGTTTCGCAGTAATTTAAAGGCACCAGATGCTGGCTATACGGGTTCATGTTGGGCGCCATGGTTATAATAATCATTATTATATTAAATTAAACTGCTATTAAGATGGCAAATTGGTGGATTTAAGCTACGTGGAGCCATATGAATGGGTACTAATTTCTATGCAGATAAATTTTGAAGTGTTACAATCAGAATAAATGGTTCACAATATTTACTATATAATTCATACTTTGCCATTAATCTTTTGTTCATTTCTTTTTCTAATGTAAATATATTGAGCATGTAACAAAAAACATGTTATTAAGGTTTTATTTATATTATATATCTATATATATATGTATGTCATTGTATGTATTTTATATAATAATAATGTTCAGAGAGTTTTTAATACATATAAAAAATACCAATATTTTTTAATTATAATTAAAACAAAATATAAACTAAACAAATTATATATCTTTTCTTTCTCTTCTTTCTTATCCTATGTTTTAATATACACTGCCTCTCTCTCTCTCCCAATCTGTCTCTCGCTCGCTATCTATATGTATATTACTCTCAATGTGTATGTAACTGCTGTGTATGTGCATAACTATATTACCACCACAACTCTCTAATGCAAATGATCACAACAATTACTACAACTACAACAACAACTTGAAACACTTGTCAACATCAACAACACCATCGATTGCCATCATCTACAAAAAAATGAACAACAACTTAAATACATCATCACTCTGATCGTCTTTCAACAACAACAAATTCAACATCGATAATTACAAACAGCTGATACCTATGTTAATTTACAGAGTACTGTGTATATTTTTCTCTATTTTTTGGAGTAAAAATATTTAGTTTTTTTTTAATGAACAGGAAAAATAGTTTTTTATACATAAACGTAATAACACGATGAAGCAGCTTTATAAATAAAAAATTACATATAATTTTGTTGTTTTCTGTAATATGACAAATTAATTGGTTTTCTAATATTGTTTATTGTTATCTTAATAATAAGTAGACAATTTTGTTGTTTTTTTTAATATACATACATTTTTGTTATGTTAACCTATATTAATTATTTATTGAAGCGGGGTAATAAAGTAGTTAACGGCATAGTAGGAATTTTTATGGCTTTCCAACACATCAGCAAGATTTTTTATTGGAAATGACAGCTATATATTCTTATGTAATAATATAAGAAGGTTCTTATAAATTATTTTTAATACAGTGCAGCATTAATCATATTCTCATTACATATTCCGCCTCTACAGTACAGCTGCGGCACGAGAATTTCTCCTTCTTTCTCTATTCTGTTCTATGTTCTAATGATTATTTCTTATGATATATTCTCTTGTAATAAATAAATTATAAATTATTTTTAATGCAGTGCAGCATTAATCATATTCCCATTACCTGTTATACCTCTACAGTACAGCTGTGGCATGTGACTTTCTCCTTCTTTCTCTACTCTATGTTCTAATGAGTAAAATATCAATGCACTTTTTTGGATATTCGAACCGTTGCTAATAACCTTCTTTCATGTTCCAGTTATTTTTTCTTTAAGCCCCTAAAATTTACGATTGAAGTATATACTTGTTTTTAGAAATGTAGCATTTCTAATGTACATAGTCGGCATTGAGAGATGCCATAAGTTTTTTCAGATCAATTGATCAAATTGAAGATTCTTTCACTGTTTAAATAATAAGGAATTATAAAATGTTTCAATTCTGTTCAACCCTTAATACCTTTCTATCGCAACAGTGCAACTGTAGATACCCTCTTTCCATTATGTTCTATTCAATTCTTCTCATATCAAAGTGTGTGATAATTTTCATTAGTTTTCATTCATTTGAACATTTTCAATAAACCTTTTTAAAAAGTAACATAAAAATACAAAAATGCACGTGGAAAGCTATCAATGTTTTGCAGCTAATTTGCGAGCAATAATTATCGATAAATGCATGAAAAACGAATGTATGCATGGACGTATGTGTATGTGCCCGCCAAATAACGGGAGAGTCCTAGTTTGATTCTCCGAATCCATGCCTAAATCTTTTACCACAAGAAAACAAAAAACCATATATAAATAATGACAGTTATTTATTTTCTTCTCTTAACAAACAATTTTGACTAGCTTTATTTTAGCTCTCTCTCACCGATAACTAACAGAACTTAATAGAAATCTTAAAAACAAAGAAAACCAAAGCAACAGCAAAACATGCTCTTTGACCCAAGAACTTAACACAGCTTACAGCAGGTCAACAGAGTTGCGCTCTCTCTCTTTTATATTTTATTAAACTAAACGACTACTTTTCGCTCTTTACCCTTTAATTACCCTTTTTTCTCTCTCTCCACTATTTAAACAAATGAAAATCTTTGGAAAACAAAAAGAGATTGTTTAGCAATAAATATTATATTAAAATAAACAACTTTAATATAATTAAAAAAAATGAGTAACCCATGTTCTAAAACAAACAATGTTTTCATATTGTAAAAAAACAGACAACAAATTTAGTAAACGAAAAACAAAAACTAATTGATAATTAAATTCTTTTAAGTTGTTTTTTTTTATTTTTTTCTTTATATTATTTTATTCAAAATTAAAACGAAAAGTATAAGAAAAAATTGTTATTTTATTGGAAGAACTTTGAGATTATTTTTAAAATTTTAGAGAGAAGAGAAAAGTTATATACATGTAAAACAAAATAAGGAAAAAATACAAAACCAAATAAAAACTATAGGGATTTAACAAAAAAACAAACAAAAATGAAGTACTTATTAACAGAAAAAACAAAAAAAAAGAATACAACATTTAACATATTAAACATAAAAACAAAAAACAATACAAACAAAGAATTATGTTCATGTAAAAGTTATATACAAAAACAAAAAACAAAACCAAAAATGATATAATGTTGAATAATTATTGTTACTTTGAAAAGATTTAAAATTGAAATAAAAAATGAATTCAATAAAAATTATTATATAAACTAAAAAACAACCAAACAATTGTTTTTATTTGATTTGATTTCTTTTACATTAACAACAACAAACACACTGGCTTCCAAGGGTCTCCTCTTCTATACATTTCAAAATACTTTCAATTTCTGTCAAATGCCTATGGTCTTCACAATGCAACAACTACACGAATGGTTTGCCTTGCTCCATCATCTTCCTCTTCTTCTAGTAGTGTTGATCTGTTACCACAACATTAGTATACATACACAATTATGTACTCTCTATCTCTCTATTTATAATTAGCCATAGATATATTAATCTCGCAGTCAAGGATAATGTTTATTTTACACACAAACCCGTACAGGACGAACTACAGGAAACATGTTTGCGGCAAAAGATATAACTCCACAGATACGACTCTAATAACAATGGCTTTTGGTTTTAGTTCACTACAAATGTATGTAAAGAAAAATACAAAAAACATTTACACGCATATTCACAAGCATACATACACTCACACACACTTAACCACAACCAATACTCCCCCAAATAAATGTGTCTGAATATGTGTGAGCCTGTGTGTGTTTTTATGTGTATGAGTGTTAAACTCCTTGTATGTATGCGTATGTGTGTACCACTCTAGAGTGACCTTCTAAATCTTTAACTGTCTGTCAGTCTGTCTATCTCTTTGTATATACTACAATACATAGTATATAGCGGTAGTAATTTGGTGTTACACTTACAATATGCAAAAACTAGGTTTACGGTAAGTTACTGTCTCTGTATATCTCTGTTGCGTCTGTAATTTCAGGTGGTTGTGGTTGGATATGGAACATTTGTAAATAAATTTCATAGGCATTTCATAAATAACATTACGTAAGTATACATCAATGTTTTACATGCAACACACAGTGGATTGTACAGATACAGAACATCGCCAGCATTAACACCGTTTATTTGTTAGAGGAATTTTCTATCAAAAGTAAAGAGTGTAATAGTTATGGTCAGCAATCTTCCCAAGTATAGGCCAGCTTTGCCCAAATTTTCTGAAATACTCAACTTTTGTTCATAAGGGTAACTTTATGTTTAAATATAAAGATGTACGTTCTTAAATTGCGTATTATAAAATTATTATTAAAACATGCAATTCAATTTGAGAAATTCCTTTAAAAGACTTGACATAAATTATCTTGATATCGAATTTTGGAAGGTACTGTTATATGGGATCTACAGACCAAAAATACATTTAAGTAAAATTTTGTCTACATTTGGTTAGGAAGCTAGAGTGATTTTCACAGACGTGCGGACGGATGGACATAGCTAAATCGATATAGCATCTTATTCTGACCAAGTATATATACTTTGTAATGTCTCAAAATCTTACTTCGATGGGTATAAAAGCAATTGATCTATAAAACTAAAAATCGTGATGTTTGACCCTGAATAACTTTATTTGCATACATGGGATTTATTGAAACTTTTGACATTTTATTTGTAAGTGTAAATTCTTCCAAAATTAAGTTTTGTGTGAATGTTTGCAATTTCAGTTTTATTTTGACTTGTATGTGTATAATTCCTTCAAAATAGTCACAAAATATAGATATTTTCTAAACTCTACGAACCCATCAAAATATTCCTACCCACTAGACCTTAAAAAACGTAAACTCAAAAGAAATAGTCAAAATATGTAAAATCTGGGGGTACCGTTACGTGAAAATGTTTTCAAAATATGTACATATATTTATACTCGACACCATACTATGATACATGGTATTATGTCTTTGTGCCATTGATTGTAACATGTAGAAGAAAACGAGATAGACCCATAGTTCCTTTTAATTATCTTCATAGAACCACAGTTTATGCATGTCCGTCAGATACAGCTCAGAAATATATTTGCCAAATTTTATCGAGATCGGTCCAGATTTGGATATAGCTCCCATATATACCTTTAGCCAATTTGATGTTTATTCTGCAATAAATGATTGATATCATCAAAAATGTAATGGAGTTTGGCACATATGACCTAATTCAGCCAAGAAGAAAGTGTATCAAATTTGATTGAAATCGATTCAGATACAGCTATAGCTCCCATAGACAGGAAGAGATAAAAAAACTGTAACAAAGTCAAACGCCACAATTTTGATTTTTTTAACTTTATTGAATGAAAGCAAAAAGTGTCGGAAATGGCATCAAATTTTAGAATAAGTTTAGATTGGTCACCTTTGGCACGAATTATGGCCTTCGAACGGCCAATGAAACCGTCACACGCTGCCGGAAGGTTGCTCTGCGGTATTTTGGCCCATTACTGGCGAAGCGCTTACTTGAGGTGATCGATACTTTGCGGCAAAAATGTTTGCGTGCCCAAGGCTTTAATACACCCTCCAGAATATTTTCGCGATAATATTTGGCATTTATTCTGATGTCACGGTCGATTGATACGAGCGGATAGCGACCATCAGCTGTTATAGCAGCACACACCATCACCATGGCCGGCGCTTGAGTTCTGGTGACCAACCAAAGGTGCACATTCTCAGCTGACCTCTTTAGCAAGTAAACACGATCATTTTGTTTGATTACAAACTGCGGGACAACGAATGTTTTCTCATCGGAGAAAACCAAATTCGGCAGTTCACCACTCTTGGCCAAGCGAAATAACTCTTTAGCTGTTTTAAGTCTATTTTCTTTCTGCTGTGTGTAAGTCTTGCACTTTTTGGAATTTCAATGGCATTAGCCCGAGCTCATTTTTCAATATTTGCCGAATGGAATATTGCGATAAATTCAGCTCACAAGCCATTTTTCGGCCACTGCGATGCGGGTTTCGATCAAGTCGTTTCTTTACTTTTCGAACCATTACTGCTGATGTTGCTGTTTTCTTCCGGCCATTTCCTTCACGTCGGGCTACATTTAAATGCTGTGGTTCTCTAGCGATATCCACTTGTGGTTTTCCAGCCAAATATGAAGAAATCATGCTATCGCGCTTGAATTCCATCTCGAATAACTTTTTTACTGGAAAATTCTCACCAAAATGCTTTTCTACGCTTGTAAAGAATATGTCTCATCCTATTTTTTGTTTAAATTCCCCTCACTTGTAATATTCTCTCCACAACAATGATATTTGAAACCAGATAAATTATATACTCCAGAAATACATCTGCGTAATTTCGTCGAGATCTGTTCAGATTTGGATATAGCTCCCTTATATATCTTTATCCGAATTGATGTTTATGTTGCACTAAATGTTCAATATCAGCCCAAATAGAATGGAGTTTGGCACAAATGACCTAATTCAGCCGAGAAGAAAGTATATCAATTTTATGAAAATCTGTTCAGATATAGCTATAGCTCCCATATATATACTGCAAATCGATTTTCTGTTTAAGTACCACTTATTCGTAATATGCACCAAACACCATATGTATATGCGATTCCAATGAAATTCGGCGACATTGGACGACATTGTTCAATGCTTTATTCATTGAAATAATAATAGAAAAAAGGATTTCAAGACATTGAACTTCCAGAACAAAACCTGAGGGACACAGCTCTTTTATGGTACCATTACATGAGAATCATTCGCATGTACACTCCAAGGACGCAAACTACCGCCGAAACGAAAGCCAAAAGTAAAAAAAAAATAGAAATAGCTGGAAGCGTAAAGTTCTACTATATGAGGGCTTGTGTAATTGATCCAACAATTTTTTAAGCTCTATTTTAAATGTAGAGCAACCCTCGACTTTAGGTTATATTCTAAGAATAGTTTGACCTAAAGACTAGAAAGCCTTTGTAGTGTAGAAAACAGTTGTATTCCACCTATCAACATATGGCTTTAGGGGTGTTATAGTTTGGTTTCAGAGGGAACTAATATATGGGAAGCATATCCAATTCTGAATCGATTTTCACTAAATTTGATTGATATGGAGACATTGCAATATATTACAGCAAATAATATTGATATAGAGAACATGAGAAGGGTTTTATTAAAAAACAAGTAAGCAAAGGCTACAGTCGAGCGGGGCCGACTGTTGAATACCCTACAACACTATAATAAACGATACAGTTTATATAGGCGAGATACTCGAAAGAATTCCACAAGATATTGTGACAAATAATAAAAGGAAACCATCAGGTTCAGTTCTCTAATTTTCGAATAATAGCAACTTAAACTAATTTGCTCATTTCCAATTTATTGGTAGATGTTGCACATAAATGGTCTTCTTAGATCTGGAACCAATATTTCCCAAAGACCTTTAATCTCTCAGAAGTGGCAAAAGGTTAACATTTATTTATGGTTTTTGACTGAAATGCATCTATATGAGATACAGACATTTGACTACATTCTTCAACGGAATCAGCGTTAACGAAATAGTCAGAAGTGCGTCTTTCCTGTATTTGTGAATTCTCCAAAGAGCCACTGGAATGGACATTTTCGTATTTTGTCTACAAAAGTTGGCAAACTATTTCGCACATTGAATATTTTTGGATGGCCATCCAAAACTGCTTGGCTTTTGCAATGTCCGGTAACCCCCATTCAAATGTGCGTGAGGATCGAGCGATAATTACGACCTGCTGACAATTTTGCAGTTTTTTTGGTCCATTTCAACCCCTAAATATATGGCGATCATCTCCAAAAAGAGTAGGCTTCTATTCTGACCCTCATCTTATCCCCATGCAAAATTTCGTAAGGATCGGGCCATAAATGCGATCTGTATATGATATCCTGAAATTCTAACTACTTAGTTTTGTTAGCTGTAGAAATATTACCAAATGTTTAATTCAAAAAGAAAATATGACAAAATTGAAAAAATATGAGAAAATTTTACAAAATCACTATTTTCATCTTTAG